AGCTCAAGCCTGTAATCCTGGTGCCAGAGGAACTGAGGCAGTGGGATGACTGTGAGTTCAAGGCCAGCCTGGGCTAAGTGCGAGACAAAAACAAACAAACAAACAAACAAACAAGCAACACAGAAAGTGAGCCTTGTCCTAGTGGGTAAGATCTGGAAACCTGCCAGCCTCCAGGGCAGGTGCCAACTTGATTTTTATTATCACACAGTCTAGACAGATTCCTGAAGCGTGAAGTCACAGTGCTGCCCTGTGACCCCAGTGCTCCCTCTCAGTGAGGGGTAGGTTCTAGAGGGGTCAGCTTGCTTGGGTGTCAGTCACCCAACTGTGAAGCGGGGGTGTAGATGCAGAAGGCAGGGCCCAGTATTTACAAGTGTGCTCAGAAGCTGGGGACACAGCCGAGTGAGCCCTGGCTGAGCGGGGATGGGTACTGCAGGTCCCCTGGGTCTGGGTCTGCTCTCCTTTGAATATATGGATATGTGGTGCTCGGAAGTGAGGAGTTGGCCTGATGAGCCATCCCTGGAAGGTGTTAGAGGGAGGATCCCCTCAGCCCTGTGCCCCGCTCCCACTCTGGCCTTGGATGTGTGTCTGAGCCGTCTCCTCCGCAGAGATTGGAGCCCATGCTAACTGGCCTCCCCTTCCTCCTCTCCCAGTGCACACTCCTGGGCTCAAGGACACACACTTGCAGTTCTGCATGCTTATACTGTGAAGGTTCTTCTCGTCCCCCATCTTCTCTCTGAGTCTCCATAGCTCCTAAGGAGCGCATTCACAGCAGCCCTGTGTTAGAAAGTAGCCGACAGTAAGCTGAGGCCTCTCCAGCCTCCCCAGATCTGCCCTGAATCGGTCACAGGAGACTCAGACCTGGAAACTAGTTGGCTCCGTCCTTGTTTTATCTGGCTGTATCTCCATCTCTGGCTGTCCTGTGGGAGGTCCCTCAGATGACCAGCCCCCTGCCAAGTCCTGGGGGACCATATGTCATGTTGAGGGGAAGGGACAGGAGTCAGGAGAGGCAGGCTGCCCTTGTCTCTGACTAGGTTTTGTTCTTTCACATCTGGGTAAATGCAACAGACCCTTGCCAGGCCTATGGATATCCCTGGCCCCATGTGTGGCCTGTCAATCACTGGATACTGACAAAACCAGACTCTGGGCCCCACCTGAGCTGTGGTGCAAGGATCCAGGCCATGCCCTTCAAAGTATCTTTCCTGGGGTGGGTCCCAGTGCACTGGCAGTTTGGGGTACCTCTGATGTGGCCAGCCCTTGGCAGGGAGACACACAGGGCCATGTATGGCTTGCAGGAAGTCGGGTACTCCTGGAGCCTTGGGCTTTGAACAGAAGGTCACAGTGGAAATCTGTCATTCAGAACCCAAGAACACATCCTAGCAAGGACTAAGGCTATGACAGATACCCTTGGGGTAACTGGTGTGAAGGGGTCCCACTCGACATGTGAGGTGGCAGCCTGGGAAGGGTTAATCTAGAGCTCTCTTAGTTCCTGTTCAACTTCCACCTCCAACTCGGAGGAAATGGGTTTTCCAGGAGCTGGCGGCGCCTAGGTGACGCAGGTCCACAGAGGCTGGCAGGGGAAGTGAGTCAGGCCTCGGGAGAGAAAGTGAGCACTGAGATTGCTGCTGCCCACTGTGCCGGGGCCCTTTCCCCAGCAGCCACTCATAGTAGGAATGATGGAGGCTCCCACACCCTTAGCCCCCCTCTATCCTGGGGAATCCTTGGGGACCCTGTCATGTTGTCCATTGTGTCAGGCTGGCTCGGCGTGTTCTGTTCTCAGTATGTTTACGGGAAGTTGAGGTCAAGAACAGCAGCCATTCTGAAAGGGGTTGTCAGTCCGGCAAAACTTCTCTCTAGGCTGGACTTGCCTACTGTGTGCCCGTGACCTCCACAGGTCTTGCTTTTCTCTCTTTGGGGGACCCTAAGTCAGGAGGGGTATGTACCTCAGGAACTTTTGAGGAGAGGGCATGGCAGCAGCCTTGTGTGCTCTTGGGAGAGATGGCCTTTTTCTGGCCTCAGTTTCCGCATCTGTAAAATGGTCAACCTGAAACAGTACTCTCCAGATGTTGCTGTTACTATTGGGGTGGGGCTGCTAACCCATCTTTCTAGTAACCATTGGCTCTGGCAGTGCTGTGGCAGGTGATATTTGGTGGCTAAGGTTGGTCTGTTCTTCATCTACACAAGCCAAAGGTGGTACCCAGGTGGTGGGTCCCTGCTGCTGGCTGCAGAGACTAGGGTAACCAGATCTTGGGAAGCCTGCAGGAGGCACAAGGGTCCTATCCTATGATACTGCTTTTACCCTTTGGGGTGTGAGGCTGGGTAACAGGTGCATATGTATGGATAGGCTGGGAGGGGCTCAGGCAGGAATGGCCTGAATGGATAAATAGGACAGTACCCTTCCTAACCCATGTGGCCATCCCTTAGCTGTCTGAAGAGAAGCACCCCCCCACCCCAGTTGTCCTCCTTGTCCAGCTCCTGGCAGCCTGTGACATTCAGGGCCAGTTAGGAGGAGGGAAGTTCTCTGGGTGGGGTCACAGCCTTCCCGATACTCTGTCCGGAAGGGAGGCTCATGTTCTAGGAATTTCCCTTCAAGTGCTCCGAAGGCCAAGCTGGCCACCTGCAATGGACAGAGGCCTGCGGAGGGAAGCATGGGATAGCGAGTTGGGGGAAAGGGTCTGGGTCAGGGACAGGAGTGCACTGGACAGAAGGTACACAGAGACAATCTAACTTCAGTGGAACCCTGTGTGCAGCCCAGTTTAAGGCCCTTTTTGGAGAGCAGTAGACATAGTGACAGCTGAGGTAGGTTCGATTTGTAATCCTCTTTACAAGAGAGGGAAGTGAAGCCCAAATATGGTGTAGCTAACTTAAGAACACATAGCTAGGAAAATATTTGAATCCAGGTGGTCTGGCTCTGGAATCCACTAAGAAATCTAAGCAACAAACCTCCTCCTTCTCAGTACCCCCCTTCTCCCTCCCTCCCCTTTGTCATCCTCCCCATCTTCCTCTTCCTCTTCTTCTTCCTCCTCTTTCTCCTCTTCCTTCATCTCTTCTTCCCCCTCCTCTTCCTCCTCCTCCCCATCCTCCTCTTCTTCCTTTTCCTCCTTTTCCTCCCCATCCTCCTCCTCCTCCCCATCCTCCTCCTCCTCTTCCTCCTTCTCTTACTCCTCTTCTTCCTCCTCCTCTTTCTCCTTCTCTTTCTCCTCCTCCTCATTCTCCTTCTCCTCAAACCCAAGAATGCTGACAGGGGTGCTTATCCTCCTTAGAGTGGCTCCACAAAGATGCAAAGCAGACGGGCAAGGAGTGGAGGTGCAGTCTGCCCCTTGTGTGTGCTTGATCCCTTCCAAGGGTTGCCATGGTGATCCAGCCTCACTGATCCCTCCCACGATGGGGGAGCTTGCTCTCTTCCCTGCCTCTTTTGTTCTCAAGGGCTATTTGGGGAGGATCAGTGCAAGACAAATGGCTGTGTCCTGTCCTGGACCCTGTGCTGACAGTGGTGACCCACCTTGAGAGGGACAAGAGTCCTAGTTAGCTGTGTGACCACATGAAGTTGTTGGCTATCTCTGGGCTTCAGATCTAAATGTCACAAAATGGAGATCAGATGGAAGTCTCAAGCGTTTTGTGAGCTTCAAGTTGAAGAGAGGAATCTGTCTGGAAGAAGAGAGATTTGGGTTCAAAGTCGAATGGACAATGACAGGGACAGCAGAGAGAAGGGAAGAGGGGCTCTGGCCTATCCCTAGATGCTGGTCTTCTGCTGGGAGTTTGACAAGATGCAGGGAAACCTCATGCTCCCATGGAGGAAGTACTCTCTCCCTACCACTTTCCTGTTCTCTGTGTGATGCTCCAGCACTGGATGAGGACCATGCCCTCAGAAACTGAAGTTCTGTTCCTCATGTTTCAATGTCCCTCATGTTTGGGTGTGTGGGACTGGCTGTCACTTGAAGGGGCCAGAGTGACTAGAATGAGACTGATCCAGAAAGGAGACAACAAGATCCTGCTTGGGCCACCTGGTGCTTAGTTTAACATCTGCCTCTTCTAGGAAGCCCTCCTAGTTCCCCCCTCCCCCTAGAATTCAGACTCCCTTTGTGCCCCAGGTTTCCAGACTTCCCTTTGCCTAACTGTGGAAGATGAGTGCCTGTCACTGTGGTCTGACACAGTTTCCTACAGGCTGAAGGATGGTAGTCTGAGTATATCAGCACCCACTTGGTCACTGGGCCAGCTGGGAGGGCCAACAACGGAAGGCACCTCCAGTGTTGGTGTAGTTCATGTAGGTGCAAGGTAAAGAAGCACCCAGCTACTAGTGGCCCATGGAGTCAGTGTGGGAAGGATGTAACTGAACCTCATCAGGGCCGAAGCACATAGAGAAACAAAATCACACCTCTCTGCCACCAGCTTCTCAGGCCCTGGTGGCTGGCTCCCCCTGGTGGTCATGACAGGAAACGTCCTTCCCTCCAGCAGTTTTTAGAGCGTTCACGCTGCTGCTTTCCTGCTTCCGCCTCTACACTAGGCTCTGTTTCGGAATGTGGCCAGGTTGAATGAGGACGGGACTGTACCAGTTGATGGTGGGTGGATAAAAGATCCAGGCAATGGAGTTGAGGGTGGGAGTATAAAATGTAGTAATGAGTGATCCTAGAGGTAAGCTTCTTATAACTAGCTAGGCCTCAGGGACTGTGACATGTGGTTCCTAGGAAAAACTCAAGACAGCCCATTCATTTCCCTGCATTTCCTCTAGGCCTGTTAGATGCAGGATGGTGGCTTCTAGACAGGGCCATTCTATGGCCTCTGGGCCCCTCTGTGAGCCACTTACACCATGTAGCAGAACAGCAAAAGGCAGAGCGGTGGCTGTGCCTATTTATAGCCTCTTGCGACTCTGGAGAGGTCTGGCCATTTCTGTGTGACCTTTAGTTCACTCCCATCCATACACAGTCCTCCCGCTGTGGGGCTGGCCCCTCCCCCCTCCCCTGTCCCGTCTCCACCCCAGTCATAATGCTCTCACTCTCTTCCAGGTAGGAATACAATGGCCGTCCAGGTACCGCGGCAGATGGTCTACTTCCTACTGAGTCTGTTCTTTCTGGTGCAAGGTAGGCTTCCTTGGGGCCCTGGGTTTGTTGTGACTTTGTCTAATGCCTCCATGTCAGTGTGTGGATCTCTGGGTAAGGGATGGGTCTGCAAAGCAGCCCTGAGGGAACCTTGGGGGAAACAGACACCTACCTCTTCCTTCTTCCCTGCAGCTCCACAGAGCGCAACTTGGGATGGGTGCTGTCCTCTCTCTCCTTTGTAGGGAGTGTTCTTGGACAGTGCACATGTGTGCCACAGTTCTAATACAATCTAATACAATAATACAATCTCATTAATTAAATGATCTCCTTTAAACTTTGGCATTTGACTTTGAAACAAATTCTTTATCTTCACTTTCATTTTACTTTATATATATTTTTTTTGTATTCTGAAGCCAGTCATTTTCTAGCAGGATAGATACATTGTTATACATTGTTGTAGACCAATAGATACATTGGTGTAGACCCTTGAAGTATAGAGCCTTGGAATGTGTGTGAGTCCTAGGTCCTTGCCCATGGTTGGTCCTATCTATATATAGCTTTTGTCTCCTCAGGTGCACATGGTGGCAGCCCCCGAGAAGACTTCCGCTTCTGTGGCCAGCGGAACCAGACACAACAGAGCAACCTCCATTATGATCAATCTTCAGAGCCTCACATCTTTGTGTGGAACACAGAGGAGACTCTTACGATTCGTGCCCCCTTCCCGGCAGTCCCAGACATTCCCCGCTTATTCCCGGAGCCTAGAGGGCTCTACCACTTCTGCCTCTACTGGAGCCGCCACACTGGGAGGCTCCACCTGCGCTATGGCAAGCATGATTACCTGCTTAGTAGCCAAGCCTCCAGCCTCCTCTGCTTCCGGAAACAGGAGCCGAGCCTGAAGCAGGGGGCCCCACTGATCGCCACCTCTGTCCGCTCCTGGCAGAGCTCCCAGAACACCAGCCTGCCTGGGGCTGCAAGCTTCATCTTCTCCTTCCACAGTAAGGCTGGGGGACATATGAGTGTGGGACGGGAGTCACAGAAGACATGGAAAGTCCATCAAGGAGGACCTGGGTTCAGATGGCAGCTATGGTCACCAAACTTGGGCATCCTCTAGCAGGAGGGAGCCATGAAAGATGGCTGGGGAGGGAAAGATTAGACTGTTTGCCTGTCCCTGTTAAGATCTAAGATCTCTGTGAAGACCATAGCATCACTTCAGCCATTAGGAGAGCACCTTAGTTACTTTTCCTCTCCATGATAAAAACACTCTGACAAAAGCAGCTTAAGGGAGAAAGGCTTCTTTCGGCTCACAGTTCTAGGGTACACTCCATCATGCTGGGGATGTCCTGGTGGCAGGTGCTTGAAACAACTGGTCATTTGTATCCGTAGTCAGGAAGCAGACTATGATAAATACTTCTGTTCAGCAAGCTTCCCTCCTGTTTGCATAGCCAGGACCTAAGCCTAGGGGATGGTGCTGCCCACTTTAGGGTGGATCTTCCCACCTCAGTTAAACTAACCTAGATAATTCCTCCCAGACATGGCTCCTGTCAGGTGAGTAATCAATACTATGCCAGAGAACAAGGGATGGAGAGAAATAGATTATTACTTATAGGTCCTGAGGTGCAGTACATACATGGAGGTCATGCTAATATGCACACAAAGGTCAGGACACAATGGGAGGAGGGTAGGGGGGACATAGCTTGACCTGGGAGTGTAACACTTGCAACTGTGAGAACTGGCAGAGCCATACTCCAGCCAGAAGGCCCAACTTCTGTTCAAAGCGCAGGGGCTGGAGGAATGGCTCAGTGGTTAAGAGCATTTGCTGTTCTTAACCAAGTTCAGTTCCCAGCAACTACAATGGGTAGCCCCCAAACATCTGTAACTCCAATTCCAGGAGCCCCCACACCCTCCTCTGTTTTCTGCAGGAACCCAGTATGTACACAATGCATGTTTATAGACACACATACACACACACACATTAATTAATTAATTAAATCATTAAAAAACAAAGCACAGGTAGAAGCAACATGAACTGTAGGCATTCCACATACCCTAGTGTCAACAAAGAGGAAACTGCGGTGCAGAGAGCTATGTGACTAACAGATTGGGCCTTTAGGGTGTGAACCTAGCAGCTGATTAGCAGGGGCAGGGAGAATTAAGAGGGTAAAAGGTCGGGAAAGCAGGGAGGCTGTCAAGGAGGCCTGGAGATCATGGCCTTATGGGTCAGAAAATGGATGCTTTCTTACTTGGGACTCTTCCTAGAGATACCCAAGTTCCCAGGGGCTTAGGTAGAGCTAGAGAAGCTAGAGATTGGTAGATCCCCAAAGCTGGCACAAACAACCCACATAATTCCCAAGGAAATCCGCTTGGGCCTGGTCCTCAGAGCCTTCTGTACTCATGTTCAGGAGGCCCTAGGAGACACAGGCCCGCCTAGCTGGCTTCATGTTTCGCTGATCTCTGGCCCCCTCTGCCTCTTGGGCCCTCGGTTCTCTCTTCTGTGGAGTGTCACATGAGAGTTACATAATGCTGTATACTGGCCATCAGTCTAGGCAGCAACCTCAGACACTCTGTTGCCTTCCCAGATGCCCCGCACAAGGTCTCCCACAATGCATCTGTGGACATGTGTGATCTCAAGAAGGAACTGCAGATGCTTAGCAGGTACCTGGAGCATCCTCAAAAGGCCTCCAGGCGGCCCTCTGCAGCGTTCATCAGCCAGTAAGTGTGGATTACCTTCCTAGGGCATGATGGAAGGTCTAACCTGGGCTAGGAGGAACTGGGAAACCTTCTCTGAGGCTGGACCTCCCTCATTGGATCCTACTGAATTGTCAGTAAAGACAGATACCAGGGCAATGCCCAGCTTCTTCCCTATAAGAGACTCCATCTTGGAGTCTGGCATGTTGAATTCCCGAGAGAGGTTTGGACAGGCAAAAGTGGGACATTGGGATGAGCTGAATTCCAAAACAGTGTCCCTCACTGCCACTCCCATGTATCTTCATACCCAGCTGCCTGTGTCCTTTGTCCCCAGCCCCCTCTCCTCTCTGTTCTCGTCTGCCCTGTGTATCTAGACCACCCCTCCCCCTTCCCTCTGTCACCTGCCATGTTCTCCTCCACACCAGGCAGTTACAGAGTCTGGAGTCAAAGCTGACCTCTGTGAGCTTCCTGGGAGACACGTTATCCTTTGAGGAGGACCGGGTCAATGCCACAGTATGGAAGCTGCCACCCACAGCCGGGCTAGAGGATCTGCAAATCCACTCCCAGCAGGAGGTCAGGAACCCTAGGGTGGGACGGGTTAGAAAGGTAGGCAGGAGCACCCCATACAGCATAGTGGCACTCGTTGGTTTTCCCTGGGTCCAGGGACAACCCACAGCCCACAGGGAGAGCTGGTGTCGTAAGACCCCACTGAAGGCCTCTTAGCCTTAGCTCCTGCCATTTGACTCCCCAGCCACCTTGTGGGGTGGCCCAGAGCCCAGTGTTTAAGAAGGGGGTTGTTTGGTGTAAGGGGGAATCTGGGGCATTTGCTGGGCCAGGAACTGAGGGTCCTCGATATACAGGAGGAGCAGAGTGAAGTCCAGGCATACTCGGTGTTGCTTCCCCGGGCCGTATTCCAGCAGACCAGAGGCCGTCGCCGGGATGCTGCCAAGAGGCTCCTGGTCGTAGACTTTAGCAGCCAAGCTTTGTTCCAGGTATGGAGACTCCTCTCACCTGATCCTAGGGTAACTGATATACACACACACACACACACAATACGCATATATGTGCATATATACATATGAGTGTATATATATGTATACATATATATATTATATAGTATATAGTATATAGTATATAGTATATATAATATTATATATATATATATATACATACATACATTCATACATACATACATACATATATGACAGAGGAGTAGAAAGGCAGTGGCTAATCTCCAGGAGGCAAAGCCTCTCCTGTAAAGGCAGAAAGGGCACTCCAATGCACAAGGCTCCTGAGATAGCTGTGAACAGTTCTGTTCTCATTGCAGTGTGAATGGCCAGCAAGACCCTCAGAGCAAAATGTTAGGAGCGACAGTAGTCTAGAAAGAGCAGGCAGAGGCCTTCTTAGCTTCTCTTCTCAGCCTTAACCCGCCCCCCCCCTTCCCCCCATCTACCTAGGACAAGAATTCTAGCCAAGTCCTGGGCCAGAAGGTCTTGGGCATTGTCGTGCAGAACACCAAAGTCACCAACCTCTCAGATCCTGTGGTCCTCACCTTCCAGCATCAGCCACAGCCAGTAAGTGTGAGCAAGCCAACCACAGGGCAAGGGTCCCTTCCTGCTGGGTCACATGTCTGCTTCCTGTCTCTCCCAACTCACTTGTCTTTTATGGAAAGGTTGTCTGACGAGAGCGCCCCACAGCCAGGTCCCAGATTGGGGTTGGGGGTGGGGACTGCGAGCTGGGTAGTGAGGACAGTATGAAGGGTGGGTCATAGGATAAATGAAAGGTAGACCGTGGAGGGAATGCCGAGGGGAGGGCGGGCGATAGAGGGAACATGGGAGGTGAGCAGAGAGAACCCAGAGTGGGCTATAAAGAGAAAACGTGGGAAGTTGGCTATGGAAGGAACACAGAGGCTGAACTATGGCGGCCCTATGCTTCTTGTCCCCACAGAAGAACGTGACTCTGCAGTGTGTTTTCTGGGTTGAAGACCCGACATGTGAGTAGGGCGGGGTCTCCAGGGGAACAAGTATCTGGAGGAGATGTGGAGTTCTGTTGGGATAGGAGCGATGAGGAGCCCCAGGGATGGAATTCTAGAGAAGATGGCTTTAGGGGAAGGCATGATGGAGACTGGGGGATCTGCTGGCGGAGCAAAAGTTTGCAGCAATGACCCAGTTTTGTGTTGAGGGCATGGTGGGTGGGGTCTTGAGGACTGGGGTTGACCAGAGTCCTGTGCTTTCCCCTCAGCAAGCAGCCCTGGGAGCTGGAGCAGTGCAGGCTGTGAGACAGTTAGCAGAGACACACAGACAAACTGCCTGTGCAACCATCTGACCTACTTTGCAGTGCTGATGGTAGGAGTCTCCCCTAGAACCCCCTTGTAGTCCCTCCACAGGCCAAGCTCATGTCCTGTGTTATGTACTTGCTCATTTAATCCCTGCCAAGATACCTCCGATCATCATCCTACTTTAAAGGATGCTGAGGCTAAGTACCACACGTAAGGCTGCACAGGTCATTACGTGCTGGCCTGTAAAACCATTGTTTGTCCTTTGTTCTCAAGTGTTGGTGTCTGACGACCATGCAGATTCCCGCTCCCAACCCACAGGCATGGGCCAGGCAACTGTTTTTTATACACCTCCAACTGGAAGCCACCGAGATGGGCTCTTGCATTCCCCAAATATCAGAGGCTTTGTTGACCTCACTTCATGCTCCCAGAATCCCTTTGTGTGGGAAGCTGAGGAGCTTATCCTTGAGTTGACTATCGTAGAAATAAGGCGTCTTCTTGGCTCACAATGCAGCTATATCCTGATAAACCCACCTTGGGAAAATATGCTAAGTCAACAAATATATAGACTCTGCCCAACAGTAACCCTTCTGAGCACACAGGGGGAGCAGCTCCTAGGGCTCAGGGCTGATGTAGCCCCAGTGGTCCTCGGAGATCTCAAATCCTGAGCAGAGCTCCTACTGATAACTGGGGCTTGAGTGGACAATCCCCAGCTAAAACTGCCTCCATTGGGGCTTTGTGTGGCTCAGGTCTGGCCAGAGCCTGCTTCTTGGGTGAGGATTTCTGCGTTATGGGTCAGAGACTTCCTGCAATGGAAGACACAGAGGTCTCCAAAAGGGTATTCATGTGGGAGGGGCTTGCAAGCTCCCAGCTGGCCAGGAACAGACGCTGGCCACTGGGGAGGGGACCATGCTGAGACTGCCACTCTGTCCCCATTCAGGTGTCATCCATGGAGGTAGAAGCCACTCACAAGCACTACCTTACGCTCCTGTCCTACGTGGGCTGTGTCATCTCTGCTCTGGCTTGTGTCTTCACCATTGCTGCCTACCTCTGCTCCAGGTAGGCCAGAGGGAGTGGATCCATTTTATTCCTATAGACTAGGACTCCTACCATACAGGCTTGCTTCACCCAAAACATGTGTGTTGATGAGAAGCTGTGGGTGGGCTCTCTGCTGGCCACCATACTCTGTGACTGCTGGACCCCAGTAATAACCTTAGTTAATCCAGCATTAGCACTGAGCATCTGCAGGCTCAAAACCCAAACTGTAGGGCACACAGGTGCTACATCACAATGATAATGGTGATAGAAATAGAATGAGGTGACTTCGCGTGGGGTGTCCACACGCCACACGCTGTTCAAAGAGGGCAGCAGACTTTGAGACCTCGCAGTGAGAGAGTGGCAGAGGTTGTCCACTTATCAGTGTTTGGTATGGCCTCCATTAAGGTCGGTTAGGACCTGGTCCTGCCTGAGTAGAGGAGAGACACTCTTGGCTATGGGAGACACCCAATAGGTCTTCAGTTGTCCTGAAGCAGGAGGAGGGGTGGAGCTGGGTACGGGTATGCTGTAAGCAGGTGCATCATGGCCAGGTGCGTCTGCAGGTGCACACCCCCAAGGCTGGGCAGGTGCTTCTGAGGATGGCAGTTGTTGGCTTTATGGAGGCTGAGGTAGGCAGAGCAGTGAGCACAGGGGCAGGGGCATGGGAACTAATAGAAGTGCAGTACTTCCTATACCAGACCTTTAGCCGGCTCCATCCTCCCGCTCTGTATAGGAGGAGGATAGTTATGGTGGGACCAGTGTCTTCTGCTGAAATTCTGGAACTTCTTAGAATCCTATGGTACAGGAATACACTGCACTCTTGGGCAGATGTCCACAGCTACTCGTAGCCATGTGGGCAGACAGCCATGGAGCAGACATGGAAGGCTTCCTAGAAGAGGGGGAGAGGGAAGAGGAAGGGGAACAGGACAGGGCCATGCCCCTGCCCCTGCACTGGCCCACCAGCATGTGCTCACATTCTCCCTGTAGGAAGAAGTCACGTGACTACACCATCAAAGTGCACATGAACCTGCTGCTGGCTGTCTTCCTGCTGGACGTGAGCTTCCTGCTCAGTGAGCCTGTGGCACTGGCGGGCTCCGAAGCAGCCTGTCGCACCAGTGCCATGTTCCTGCACTTCTCCCTGCTTGCCTGCCTCTCCTGGATGGGCCTCGAGGGCTACAATCTCTACCGACTGGTGGTGGAGGTCTTTGGTACCTATGTTCCTGGCTATCTACTCAAGCTGAGCATCGTGGGCTGGGGTAAGCGGCAGGGGAGAGGGGACCCCGGAACCCACTGTCTCATCCAGTACCCACTAAGATTTGGGCCAAGATCAGACAACAGGTTCTGCCCTCCCCTGTTAGGGAATCAACCAGTTCCTCTACCTGGACTGGGGACACGTACCCTAGCTGCAACTCTGCTTGTAGATCCCCCGCAAATCTCTGTGACAGTCTCTATGGCTTTGGCATTTTCTTCTTGGCTGGCGACTTAGTTCACCTGTAACTCAGACTACTCAAGTCAAACTGGGGCCCAGAGTTTCATGGCATGAGTCATTTTGGACAGTCCATAGAACCTGACTTACCCAGGACCCCACACCCCACTTGCTCTTCCTGTGCCTCTCCCATTCACCTTCTGCCCAGGATTTACAAAACTTGAGCTGACTGTGGCATCCTTGGCTCTGTGCTGGCCCCTCCCCCAATGAACTTTCTAATTCTACTAATAAGTGAGTCAAGAAGGCCAAGACAGATGTCCTCTCTGTCAGAGGTCTCTCATTGCCCTCCCCCACCAGCCCCATCCCCTCATCTCCCCGCTTGACCAGGCTTCGACAGTGTGCAACGGGCCTCTTCTCCAAGAAGACCCAGGAAGAGACAGGGAAAAGTTGAAAGAGAGCCTACCCATTATGGAAACAGAGAGGACCTATTCAGGGCCACTGAGAGCAGAGAGGACCTACTCAGGCCCACTGAGAGCAAAGAAAATGGGCTCGGAAGGTGGAGCCAGAGCTTCTTCCTTGCTATCCGCAGGTTTTCCTGTCTTCCTGGTCACTCTGGTGGCATTGGTCGATGTGAATAACTATGGCCCCATCATCCTAGCTGTGCGCCGGACTCCGGACCGTGTCATCTACCCCTCTATGTGAGTGGCTATGGCAGGGACAGGAGTGTGGGTCTCAAGGGACGGTCAGGGACAGCAGCCTTTATTTCCCTGGGTTGGTTGAGAGGCTATGGGCTCCAGTTTGCTGGAGGAATGGGCCCAGCAGTGACCAGAGCCCGGAGCTAAGGACCACAGGGACTAAGAGAAGCCAAGTCTGCCCTTCAGTGGTCAGGTGCCTATGCCCAGAGCCTGGCCTTTCTCTGAGCCTCACAGGACGAGTGTTGGACCACACGGTCTCCTCCCAGGCTTCCTTCCCTCATCCATTGGTTCTGAAGCAGATGGAGACCTGTGGTGTGGACTCACTCATAACCACACTGAGGTTAATATGTGGCAGCAGCTGGCAGGGGACATCCTGAAACTAGACCTGAAGCCAGGGTGCTCCAGCTCCAGGCCAGGAAGGAATGCTCTTCACCAGCTCCATGTTGATAGCATAGAACCCCAAATGTTCCCCCTGTCCCCATGCCAGGCCTGGTAGGTTTGCCTCAATTTTGTACTCTCAAGAACGTGGCTTCCTTAACCCCTTCCTTTAAGTTATCTGACTGGGTAACTGGGCACCAAAGATGACTCAGTGCTGACGAGTGCATACTTCTCTTTCAGAGGACCCGAGTTCGGTTCCCAGTACTTAAATTAGGCAGCCCCCAACCACCTACAAACCCAGTTTCAAAAGATCTGATACCACTAAGCTCTGTGGCCTCCATGTGCACCAGCACACATGTACATATTCACATAGAAACATACACACAATTAAAAATAATAAAATATATATATATTTTAAAAACTAACATTTAAGGTGATGGAAGGCCAGTGTTACTTGTAAATAATGAGCAGTCCCAACACCCAGCCCAGCACCCTCCGGGGTCCTGCTGTTCCCGCTCCTGAGCTGATCTGAGCCTTCCACTCCTGCCCAGGTGCTGGATCCGGGACTCCCTGGTGAGCTATGTCACTAACCTGGGCCTCTTCAGTCTGGTGTTCCTGTTCAACCTGGCTATGCTGGCCACCATGGTGGTGCAGATCCTGCGGCTTCGCCCACACAGCCAGAAGTGGCCCCATGTGTTGACTCTGCTGGGCCTCAGCCTGGTCCTTGGCCTCCCCTGGGCCTTGGTCTTCTTTTCCTTTGCTTCTGGTACCTTCCAGCTCGTCATTCTCTACCTCTTCAGCATCATAACTTCCTTCCAAGGTAGGTGTGGTGAGGGTCCCACCCCTAGTCAGTAGCCCTTGTCCCTCCAGCTGGTAGGCTGTCCACACATGGAGTGGGAAGAAGAGATGCCCTGGGGACCCCAAATGCTCCCTACTCTGGGCCTCAGTTGTCTCATTCCAAAATGAGCATATGCAGGCCACATGCAGGACAAGCCTTTGTTAGACATAGAGGGCTATGTAAGCCCTCTGAGAAGCCCCTGGGTTACAGCATGAGATGGCCACTTAGTTCTCATGAGGGAGACAGTGGAGTCAAGAAAGATCACAGCAACCAGGGAGACTCAGAGTAGGAGAGTTGCAGTTGACAGTAACCAGCACCTGGGCTGGTGTGGATGGAGGTCTTGGGTAATCAGCATCACAGGGGACCTTGTTGGAAAGGCAAACTGTGATCCACTCAGGCCACCAATCCTTTCTGCATCTTAGCAAGATGCCCAGGGCATCCTGCCTATGGCACGGGTCAGGGAGCTCTGGTCTAGCCACTGATGGTAGGGGAGGTGAAAGCAAAGGCCTGGCAATTACAACAAGTGCTGAGAGGGTGAGGAAGGGGTTGTGGCTGAAGGTCAGTCAGTGAGGGCTTGGAGGCAGGATCCTGGAGAACCCAGTGTGAGACCAGCACCCCTCTCCTCTGAGCCTCTCATACGCAGACACAAAGGCCTATCCACCTCTGTATTTGGCTATGCTGACTGAACAGGGCCCGTGTGGCCATTGCAGAACCAATGGAGTCACCGTGGGGTAGAATGGGATGAGGAAATTCATTCCAAAATCTTGTGGTTTGGGCATTTCATCTTGTCTCCTACGAGGCATGACCTAGACTTCTAAGCAAGGCCAACGCTGAGCCCCTGATATGCCACAGTGTACTGAGTCATTCCAAGTGGCTTCAGAGCCTTGAGTATATGACTGGACCCCTGGAGCAGAGGGACTCTGAGAGGGAAACAGGGTCGGATGGGGTCTTGCCCTCTGGTAACCCATGTGCCTCACTGCCCACAGGTTTCCTCATCTTCCTGTGGTACTGGTCCATGCGATTCCAGGCCCAAGGTGGCCCCTCCCCTCTGAAGAGCAACTCAGACAGCGCCAAGCTCCCCATCAGCTCTGGCAGCACCTCTTCCAGCCGCATCTAGGCCACTGCTGCACCTCCCTCAGGGAGGACACATGCATGGCGTCTGTTCACATCGTCTGTGGCCTGGTGCTGTGCCCAGCCTTTGTTGGTTAGCGGCGTACTAGAGAAGGCCCTGGTCCTTGAAGGGGTAGGGCTGTTGCTCTGGTAGGTAGATACCTAGCTTGCCTTGGGGACTACTCTGGTCCCCAAAGGGCTCAGAAGCACACTGCCATTCTGTTCGTGGGGCTGTCCTCACAGCTGTTTCAGTCTGGAGCTGAGACCTTGTCTTTCTGGCCACCTCTGGGTCCAGCTGTTACTGCTGGGTGTTGAGACCGGCAGGCCTAAGCTGGGGTTAGATCTTAAAAGAGGCTGACACATCCGGCCTGAAACACTTGGCTCTGGCTGCTCTGTCTCTGTGGTCACCATGCAGAACTCAAGGGTGGCACTGGGGGTAAATGGGCGGAGAAAAGGTTTGGAGGCAGAGCCCCTTAGGAGCTGAGCATCTCCCCAACCTGTCTGCAAGCCCTTCTCTTCATTCCCTACCCCACCCCCTCCTCTGTGATCCCCTAACCCTCCACCTGCAGCCTGGGGTCCTAGACCAGTGCTGTGATTTGGGGTAGTAGTTCCCAGGAGTTTCCTGGTGCCAGCTATAAACTTCTGTCTGTTGTGTGGGTTTTGGCCTCTGACTCAGGTTCCTGGGCTGAACCAGGCCAACCTGTCTGAGCCTTTCTCCAAGCTGCCTCACCTTTGCTCACACCTCAGAGGAGCCTCCGCCTCTCCTGAAGCCTCCCTGGGGCAAGAACTGCGGGATACAGCCCCTCCCCCTTTTCAACCCAGCATTCTGAAGACCAAGACAGCCCCCTCTGGTGACATTGGCCAAGTTTGTTGTTCTCCTGAGAAGTGGTCTTCAAATCCCTGTAGGTGGCTCTGAAGACACTGGGCTGCCTATCGTGAATTCTGTCCTACTAACGTACAGTGAGTGGCTCCCGAAAGCTCTCACAAAGTCCTGGAGCTGTAGGCATGGGTCTGGGAATCCAGGAGGACTTCCTGCAGAAGGCAGCATTTCATCTTGACCTCAGCCTTCAAGTTGGAGAGCATGTTCTTTTTAAATACCAGTTCATTTGTCTTTTGATATTAAAGCTCTTTGTAGAGAATGTGGAAACTGTAGGAGGTTATTGAGAAGAAAAATAAAAAATCAGCTGTTATCTAATGCAAAGCAACACAGTTTGGAGAGTTGCTCGTCTAAGTTTTTTTTTCCCCACTTCTATTACTAGTATTGCTGAGTCAGGTGTCTTGGGGACAATCAGGAAATGGTAAAGAGGAGAGGGCAATGTGGGAAAGAAGGCGTCTGAGGACACTTTCTCAGGAAAACAAGAGAAATGGCCAGCTGGTGTCTGCTGGGGGCGATGCTGGGCAGAAGTGTATCAATAGTAACCTGGAGATATTGGCCTCGGCTGCAACTGGACAGGGCTGGCATGGAGGGAGATCTGGGAAGCCACATCAGTTGCCTTTCGTGGGGAATCCGGACTGGTTCATAAAAGCCATTGATCTTACAGATTTGGCATATATAAAACCTTCCGTAACCAAAGAGGCCAGTCAATCTTGAGAGCTGAGTTCAGATTTTAACTGATCATGTGATCCAGGGACCAGTTTGGCCACCAGTCTGGAACAGCTGGGCTGCAAAAAAATGAAATGACTCAGGTTTTCTCCCAACCTAGCTTCTAGCCTGCTCCTTCAGTCCTTTCTCCCACTTACGTGGCACAGGTTAGACACGTCCGAAGTACCTGTTCCCCTTGGGTATTTGTGATTGTCCTCATCTGTGTTCAAGTACAAAGAGTTATAAAAATCAGGGTGTGGTGGCACCTGCAGTCCCAGCACTTGAGATGCCGAGGCAGGAGATTGATTTCAGACCAGCCTGGGCTGTATAGTGAGACTCTCAGGAATGAAGGGAGAGAGGGAGGGAAGGAATTCCTCTTTATTTGAAGTCTGAGATTCCCTCAGGTCTACAACCTCACCCCTACCCTCAGCCCCTGCTGCGCCAGGGGAAGATAGGAGTACTCTGGGGTCAACAAGGTGAGTGGAAAGCTGCCTTGGCAGTTCTAGGTACCCCAGCAGTCCCCACAGCGTGGCATGAATGTGGCAGGTTTGAGACCTGTCTGGACTTTGGCATGTGGAAACACCATGTCTCTCTCCAGTCTTCCTCCATAACTCTGGTGGCCGCTGCTTCTGCTTTAGAGTTTGTTTGATTTCTTTTTCTTTCTTCTTTTTCTTTTCTTTTCTTTCTTTCTTTTTTTCTTTTCTTTTCTTTTCTTTTTTTTTTTTTTTGAGACAGGGTTTCTCTGTATATCCCTGGCTGTCCTGGAACTCACTCTGTAGACCAGGCTGCTCTCTAAGATCCACCTACCTCTGCCTTTTAAGTGCTGGGATTAAAGGAATGGACCACCACAACCGGCTTACATTGGAGTCCTTATGTTCCTTCCCCTGAGGAAAAAAACAGACTTTCCTGCAGCGCGCAGCCTCGCCGATAAGGAGAACGCCACACTCAGGATTCTTCTGACAGCAATTTATTGTACAGCTCTCTAGATAGCAGTGAAGCGAGGGGACACCAAGCCCGAAAAACCTGTGGCTTATATAGAGCCCTAGGAGACGTGCCACACACTCATTGGCTCTCACGACATCGCCAATTAGCATACTGGTTTCCGCGCCTTGCGCAGGCGCACATTCAAGCAAGGCTCTCAAGAAGAACCAGGAAGCAGGAAACCGGCGCCATGTTGCAATGGCGAACGCGGCTCCTAACACTTTCCCAAGCCCCTCTACAGAGTGTCCTGGCCTGATATCCTGATATCCCAGTCTCCTTTCACAGGCAGAGGGCACCCTCCTTCCCCTAAACCCTCGCCAATTTCTTTCCTGGACCTCTGGTTTCGAGGCTGGGTCAGAAAAGGAAGTGGGTCCCTTGGTGGTTCCAAGGGGCTTCTTTGGCCTGAGTGGTTCCTTCTAGGCATGAGGGTCTGTAGACAACACACTTACTTTCCCACTAAGACAAGGGAGTCTCTAGAGACACCTTTCTGGTTCGGGATACAGCCAGGTGATGCTGGCTGGCCTGGCAAAGGGCTTGAGGCCCTGCTGACTAGGAGACGTTGGGATAAGCTGGGTGACAGGTGATAGGATGGGACATGGTAGTTATGTTAGTCCTGAAATGTGGGGGCCCAGGGCTCTGCAAAGGATCCCAGGCCAGTACCTAGCCTCATGGGGTCTTTCTAGAAGCTCTGCAAGGCCTGGCCCTCCCACCTCTCTAACTGCTCTTACTGGCCCCCCAGGAACATTGGACGCCATGCCTCTGCCTGCAGGTCACCAGCCTTTTTATTTTTATGCACCTGTGAGACCCATGGAGCCAGCATGGGTGGTCCCAGCATATCAGGAACCACTGTCTCACGACATCCTTGCCCTTGCCTGAAGTTGGGAGGGAGGCCACAAGGGGAGGTTGGCTCAGGGAGGGGCAGGCCCAGTGGCTCCTATCTTCCTGTCAGAGGAAGCTTGGGGACACAGGAACTTCTGGATTCTGACCTGGGATTCTAGGCCATATCCCCCCACCCCACCTTCTACAAAACAAGAGTGACCTGTATCCCTTCCCACACCCCCTCAGATCCAAAGAGCCCAGCAGGGGACCATGTGAAAGGAAGACAGATGACGGTTATAGCTGGACAGCTCCCCAGAAAGTGGAGCAGAGCTAGCTCAGACCTAACAGGGGTGTCAGTAGCAGGCAATAGTATTGAGGCTCTTCTATTCACATGAGTAGGTGTGGACATCCAAGGGCCTGGCCTTATCCATGACTTTCTTGGGGTCAGCAGACTGATAATGCTCCACCTCTTCCCCAAGCATGTGTATGTGTGTATGTGTGTTTGTGTGCATGTGTGTATATGATTCCCCTTCTTCCTTCCTGGACCAACAGGGACCAGCCTGGGGAGGGTGACTGTCATTTCACAGAACTGATGACTATCATGTGCTAGTTCTGGTTAACTGATTAAGTACCTCCTCTACAGAGCAACTCCACGAATCTCATGTCACGAGTCCTTCCCGTGCCTGTGAGAGGGGTCAAGTAGCAGATACCTCCTGCAGGGTCATCAGGTTGGGCAGTGGCCACAATAGATATGTCAAGCCAATGAGCTCCCCCAGATGCCGGCTACGTCCACAGGGCCCATCCTCCTATTCCGGATACTAGCCCACCAGCTTATCCTCCCTGTTATCCTGCCTTGTGGGAGAGGCTCAAGGCCTGCAGCATCACATCCCCTCCGCTCTCCTCTAGGGGACCATGAAGGTTAGGTTTGCATCCGGCCTTCTTCATAGGCTTTCCACATCTTTGTCCTCACGGGTGTGCTTGGCTGGTTACAGGTCTCATCAAATCCAGACACTGACAATCAGCCTGAGTATGACCCTCCAGGAGCTGTCTACTGCTTGGCCCCTCTCACGGCCATGAAAAGGGCTCATGATATGAGGGCTCATGAGGTGAGTGGAGTTGCTCTGTAGAGGAGGTAAATAATCAGTTAGCCAGCATAAGCACATGATAGTAATCAGTTCTGTGAAGTGACAGTCACCCTGCCCCCCACTGTTGGTCCAGGCAGGAAGAAGGGGAATCATATACACACAAACACACATACAGAGGCAGGAATGAGTCTCAGACACCCTTGCTAGGGAGATGGGGAAGGAGTGCACTGGCAGTTCCCTCTGCAGGTGGTCTCATGAGCATGCCTCTGTGTGTGTGTGTGTGTGTGTGTGTGTGTGTGTGTGTGTGTGTGTTACAAAGCTCCGCCCAGTTCCTCACATTCACCTTTCACAACCCCTCTGATGATGCCATTCATTGGTCAGGAAGAACGAGAAAGAGGCCACAGGAAACAGTGGCCACACGTCAGGGGGCAGGAAGAAGGCCAGTTGGTCAGAGCTTGGGATCGAGGGACCACACAGTCATAGGACTCCACTGAGCACTGATGGCAACAGCCAGGAGCCTGGGCCTCCTGTTCTTTCTGCTGCTGACTTCAGGTGAGTGAGCGGGCTAAGTCTGGAAGACTCTGTGCTGCAAAGGGCCCCCAGGGAAGCATAGGAAGAGAACCAAGAATTCAACCAGGATGGGAAAATGGGGCATCATAGTGACAACCTCATCATCTCTTCTGGCCTTGTCCCTCCAGGTCATCCCTGTCCTAATAAGTTCTATCTTGCCGGGTCTCAGGCTCCTGTTGGCACTGCATAGTGTGCTGTAGGTGAGCAATAAAGAGAATGTCCATCTGGCCTGGCTAGAACCAGGTTCTAGGACATGGTGGGTCAAACAAGCTCTTCAGTTCTGGGCTCCAGGAGAAGGCATCAGGGGCTCTGGAAACTGAGCCTGGAAGGACGGGCAGCTGCTCTGCCCACATAGTCCATCATAGGCTCCCCATCCCTGTCAGCACTGTTCATTGTCGTCAGTGACAGGAGCTGGGACCCAGACCACTCCCATCACATACTGTTCAGCTTAATACACCAACATGAGGTTCCCAGCTTAGCCTGCTGCCACCCTCACCTCCATGGATGGTTGTGTCCTTCTTGACAGCTGAGTGATGGCTATGTGGAGTGGTGAGGTGCTCCCGTCCCCGTGCCTCTCCTTGTTTGCTCCAACTTTGGCAAGTATCCTCAGGTGTCTGCCTCTCTGAGTGTCTGTCACTTGTAGACAGGCGACTAGCCACACGGATTAGCATCTCTCAGTTCAGAAAAAAAAAATCTCTTCTGTATGGCTCAAAAGTGGACCAGGTATTGTGACATATCATTACACTTGGAAGGTAGAGGCAGAGGATCAGGAGTTTGAGTTCTGTCTCAGCTACATAGTGAGTTTGAAGCCAGCCTGGGCTATTAGAAACCCTAGAAATAAAAGTGGATATTATAGGTGACAGGACTGTCTTTCTCATGGTCAGGGGCATCCTTGGGACAGAGCAGGCAATGCTGGACAGGCCAACAAGGCTCTTCTGAGTGGAAATGTAGATCCAGTGGTGGCAGGGATTCTTGTAACTGGGTGATGTGTCAGTCACTTGAGTGACATAGGAGGTGAAATTGGATGTCCTTTATCCATTTATCCACTGGCTCTTTGCTCACACACTCAAGAAACATACATAGTGCCAAAAAGAGGCACGAAAATGGTAGCTGCTTGCCTGAGGGAGGCTCTTGGCACCCTGAGCCTGAAAGGCAAGGAATGGGCTATTCTCAGGCATTGGCTACAGAAGGCAAAGAGGCTGGCAGTGAGTGGAGGGAAGGGAACTGAAGGAACAAGGGGAAGGGTACAGGGAGCATATGTGTCACCTTCTGGCTTGTGACATCCAGCCTGCCCCCACCTGCTGTACTCCCAACTGTTGAACTCACACCAAGACTCTCAAAGTCCTCAGAAAACACCTCAGAGACACAGTGCTTTCTAGGATCTTGAGTTTGAAGCTAGCCTGGGCTATACCATAGGAAAGGACAAAGCGGGGGGGGCTGGGGGATAGGGAACCACAAGAACTAGGCTGGGATTCCCAGCAAGATGGAGAAAAGCTGTATTCTCACCCACACTGAGGCCACCCCCACTGGTCCTAACCCCTGACCACCTCTCCTTCATTGATTTCACGTGAATGCAAATGGGACTGGTCTCAGAGTCTAGGCTAGCACCTTGCCTCAGTATGTCTTATAAGCCCCATATACTATCTGAAAGCCGAAGAGAAATTGAACAACATATAGACCCAAATTTTATAAAATATGCTCTAATATGTTCTGCCCTGTTCACTCTTTGTCCTGCCATGCCTTTATCATGAATTTTATTTTCTGTACTAATATTTGAAAATGAACCAGTTTCCTTTAAATTGAAAGTGGTAATGTCCATGATATATATATTTTTAAATCAAACACCAGCAAAGGATATTTAAAAAGCAAACCCTACCTCAAGAAACCAACCAACAACAACAAAACAGAACCAAAAACCCGACCAAACAAACAAACAAAAGTCACACCATAGCCAGTTGTGGCGGTACATGCTTTTAATCCCAGCACTTGGGAAGCAGAGGCAGGAGGATCTCTGTGAGTTTGAGGCCAGTTTGACCTACATAGTGAGTTCCAGAACACCCAGGACTATGTAAAGAGACTAACTCTGTCTCAAAAGAAGAAAAAAAAAAAGCTACATCTTCCAGAATACCTCAGATGGTCTGTGTGCTCAGGGATTTATCTCTTTCATCTCTAAAACTTAAAGGGTGAGAGGACCAGGCCTCAGAGCGATTGAGTCATTTACCTGAGGACAAACGGCTAAGCAGCGACAGGAAGCTTCTGCATTCTATAGCACAGGGCTCTACACCACAAGCCACAGAATTGGTCTCTAGTCCTGGAGCAGCTTCCAACATCTGCTGACTACTCCCCAGCCTCAGCCTGCTGCAGCCTCTACCCACTCCAGGCAGAGCTGGGAGGCTAAGGCAAAGTAAGTCAGAATACTTACAAGAGTTATAGAATCGGCCGCAGCTGCCTGGCCTGGGAGGAGCTGATGGAGGAACTGCAGGAAACCAGGCAGGCTCTGTGCAGGCGGTGGCTAAAGAGTCACAGTACTGATAGATTAAAACTTACTGCGCACTACCACACAAAACCTTTGTCTGGAGAACCACATGCCCTATTTCCCCAGCCCTGTGAGGTGAGAATGCATCTTCCCCCCCCCCCCCAGAACTCCCAGACTGGGGAGGGTGGAGTCTGCCGGAGTGCTGCTGAGTAATGGACCAGCTACCTCTCCTCGGCCACTGCCCCTCTCCCACCTGCCTCCTCTCACTCCACTTCCTCCCTTAGATGAGCAGATCACTGAAGGGCCGAGGAACGTCTGCCTGCTCAAGGAGAACCCTGAGTATGCCAACTTTGACTTGAATGACACCGCTCAGTGTTTCACCAAGTGCGAGCAATCAGCCGACATCTCCTGTGACGTGGGGAACTTGCAGAGGTGAGGGGAGAGGAGTCTGGGAGGAATGGGAGGGGATGGCCTGTTGGGAGGCCATACAGCTATAAGTCCCCAGGGCCCTAGAATAACATGCTGTTTCCCTTTCACCCCTTCATGTTCTCCTTGCCCTGGCCCTGCCCTGGCTCTGCCCTGGCCCTGCCCTGGCCCTGCCCTGGCCCTGCCCTGGCCCTGCCCTGGCTGTCAGAGTCGCTACTGATTAGAACAGTGGTTCTCAACTTGTGGGTCTTGATCCCTTTGAGGGTCAAACGACCCTTTTACAGGGGTGGCCTAAAACAGTTGGGAAACACAGATATATACATTACGCTCATTACAGCAGCAAAATTACCGTTATGAAGTAGCACCAAAAGTAATTTTATAGTTGGGAAGGTCACCAGGACGTGAGGAACTGTATTAAAGGGTCACAGCATTAGGAAGGTTGAGAACCACTGGACTAGAGGATGCAGAGGTGAATCAGCCAATCTCTGCCTTGGGAGCAGCAGAGGGACAGAGATGCGCACAGTGATGATGTCAGAGGTGATCAGTCAGAAACGCACAGTGATGATGTCAGAGGTAATCAGAAGTGTGGACAAGGAGCCAGCTTAGCACAAAAGAGGACATCTGCCAAGGCCTTGTCCAGGGGGCGGCCTGGGAAAGGGCTTTGGGGAGTACAAAACAGTTTTTCTGGTGAACCCACACAATGGTGGGGGGTGGGGTGGCTGCTTAACTTCACAGTATTGGGACAGGACTACAATGCTTTGAATTATAAGTGTGCAAAGAGGTGCAGGGGACAGAGGTGGCAATGAGACAAAGGGTGTATCAAACTTGAAATACAAGCAAGGAGTGGGGTGAAGGACCAAGTTAACTAGACCATTATGGGAAACGGGGAGATGGCATATTTGAAATTAAGAACCAGTCAACTCTGCATTCTAGGTTGATTGATTGTACTTCAGGGCTGTCCAGAGGTGGTGACAAATGTAGAGATGTGGTCCAATAGGGTGGAATTCTGTTGGCACTGTGAAGCTGCTCAGGAAAGATGGCTCAGGCAGGCTTCATGAGACCAAGAAGCTGGCTAGATGGCGCAGGGGAGACAAAGCTTTCTGGTGCTGTCCCTGCTGGAATCATTGCCCAACTAGCTCTGCCTCTCTGCTCTTCTCTGGGATCTAGGTGAAGGGACCCAAAGCTCACCTGGGATACCACAGAAGTGCCCAGCTTACCGCCAGAACTCAGAAAACGGTTGTTGAAGGGATGAATGAAAATCTTTGCTCAAAGCTAGCTGTTAAGATGGTGTTCATATTGAAGTTCATTCTTTCAGTGTCCTGGAAGTGACCTGAGCCTAGCCTACAGTCACTCTGGCAGCCTCTTAGACAGTGTGAAGTCCAGGGTGCCCGAGTGACATCACAGCTCAGATAAGCACCTTGGAGAAAGCAGGCGCCTTGGTACTGAAGGATGTGATCTGGTCCCACTTCATCCCTACAGTTGCCCTTTTCTCTTCATAACGACACTGTCTTCAGCTACTTTTCTTACCGCTGTAACAGGATACATGGCAGGAACAGCCCAAGGGAGGAAAGGGTGTCGTCCTCCATGGTGGGAAAGGCATGGTGGATGGACAGGCTCTGTTCATGGCAGCAGAGGCTTACAGCATCATGAGCTCTTACACAACTTGTTAGGGAGGAGCACAGAAGCAGAAGGGAATAGGAAGCAGGCCTGGCTATTCTTCTACATATACCACCTAGGCCCAGCTTCTCAAAGGCTCCATGACCTCTAAAAATAATACCACCAGAGGATGTTGAAGTATTGAAACATATGAACCTATGGGGACATTTTACATTCAGACCATAAAAAAAAAACATGCTCTGAGGTAGGTCCTGTTATCAACCCATTTCTCAGATGAGAGAATCGAAGCTCTATGCAGTTGAATAACTTGCCTGTGGTTATACAGCAGGTAAGAGGCAAAATTGATAAGAGCTTGTATAGGAGGCTCAGAGGAGGCACTTGATGTGATAGGCTGGCCCCAGACTACCAGTGCTCAGGTGGCTTCTAGTTTATCTACCTGTAAAATGGGATTTATGGGATGATGGTGGAGGCTAAATAATTCTGCACCTGAGTGCTGTGGTAACCCCATCATCCACACTGTTACAATGCCACATCCTCAAGCCCCTGCTCTCAAGCTCTCAGCCTTCCTCATAGCCTCACTGAAGACTGAGCAAATACTGCACAGAGGAACTATTAGCTGATAGCAGGAGCTCAATCAATGTTGGTGGGCTTTCTTGTAATGGACCTCTTGATTATAAAAGTAACACATGCTGGGCATAGTGGTGCAGCCATTAAGGCAGAGCAGGTGAGTCTCTGAGTTCAAGGCCTGGTCAACAAAGTAAGTTCCAGGACAGCCAGGGCTGCAGAGTGAGAGCCTGTCTCAGAAAACAAACAACAGCCGGGCAGTGGTGGCGCACGCTTTTAGTCCCAGCACTTGGGAGGCAGAGGCAGGCAGATTTCTGAGTTCGAGGCCAGCCTGGTCTACAGAGTGAGTTCCAGGACAGCCAGGGCTACACAGAGAAACCCTGTCTCGAAAAAAAACAAAAAAAAGAAAAAGAAAACAACAACAAAAAGTAATACATATTCATTGAAAATTTGTTATAGAAAGAAAGTGAGAATTTCTCTTAACCCATCAACCAGAGCTGGCTACTGTCTTTATCTGGATGTGTATCTCTTTAGCATCTTACATGACATATAATTTATTTTGTGATATGGGTGGCTCATGCTTTTTATCAGGTATCGTAGTGAACTTGTATTCCTAGGCTTGGAATTAGTGACTTGTGGGAGTAGGCAAAGGGTTAACTCCAGCAGAAACTGGCTAAAGTAGTCAGGTCGAATGTTACTTCCACAGGCAGATTGTGAATTCCAGTTACCCTGTGGCTTTGTCAACTCTTGGTCTTGTCTGCCTTTCCTCATTAGCCATCCTTTCAGGTTTCTAGTGCGCCTCGTGGTGATTGTGATGAGTGACGTCAAGCGCCTTGCTATATTCCTTTCATATCTTGACAACTCTATTTCTGCTTGTTGGTCTACAAAGCTGTTTGAATTTTCCAGAGTGATTTTGGGCATCCTTTGTTTGTTCTGCACATCTCTTTGTTGTGAATATACACATTGAGAATATTCTTCCTCTTCGTGGGTTTCCTGTTCACTTCCTCCTCAGCACTGTCTTTTGACCATTGCTAAAGGTTTTTATTTTATTAGTGTAACTGATCAGTCTTTAGATTTACTTTAAGTGTTGGTGTGTGTGTGTGTGTGTGTGTGTGTGTGTGCATGTGTGATGTTGGGGATTAACATGTCACAGCATGTGTGAAGTCAATTCTCTCCTTCCACCTTTACATACATTTTGAGACTTGTGAGACACACATGCTCCTTAACACATCTCACCAGGCCTATTGCCTGTTACTCCTGTTCTGTTCCGTTCCATTCCGTTCCGTTCCGTTCAGTTCCGTTCCACTCCGCTCTGTTCTATTCTAAACTAGGCAGACATGGCTGTTGGAGCACCTTTAATCCCCAAACCCAGCAGATGGAAGCAGAAAGATTAAAGAAACCAAGTCAGTCCTCCGGTACTAAGTGAACAAGGCCAGCCTAAGCTCTTTAAGACCAGACTCTGTCACAGACAACAAAACAAAACAATAAAAACAATTGCTTTCTACACCAAGACCACAAGAATGCTCCTTCTCTGCTTTCTTCAAAAGCTTCCTTGCTTCTTTGCTCACGGGACTAAGATCTGACAAAAAAAAAAAAAATCAGACAGAGGAAAAAAATTGCTGTTTATTAAGGACCATAGAGTCTCAGGTTTGTTTCTCTTCCTTCACACACCTCCCCTGAGACCCTGATGCCCTGCTGGGGCTCTGTAGCCCCTGTGCCTGTCTGTAGGCAGAGCCTCATATCACACAGGCCATAGTCAGCACTGAGCCACATTCTTCCCCTGGACATGTCTGTCTGGTGACACACAGGAAGAGAACAGTATTTGGGAATGGCTTCCTCCCCTTAGCATGCTCTTGCCATCTGTTCCTGCCGTGACCAGCAAGGTGTGTTTTGTGACCAGCAGTGACCTCCATTCATCAGCAATTCAAACTCTCAGAAGAAAGGGTGTAGGAAGAACAGATGTTCTTCCCAGGAGAAGAGAGGCCACAGGCGCTGAACCTCATGTTCATGGTTTTCTACAGGATGTCACCTCAAGGTCGTCCCTGTCCTAGCTGCTGTTGACAGCAAACTGCAATCACCTTTTATGACTTCATTTCTTCATGCATTCTTAGGAAAACAAACAGCTCTTCCTGATTCAGAAGCAGAAGCCCAAAGCCATGGTTCTTAAAAAAAAATAGATACGCTAAGAAATAATAATGACAACTTGTTGATATTATTATTATTATTATTATTATTATTTGTAGTAGTAGTAGTATATTTAAATATTTAAATACACAAATGCTAGAGCTGGAGAGGATGGCTCAGCAGTTATGGGGACTTACTGCTCTTGGAGATGATTCAGGCTGAAGTCCCTGCACCAGGTGGCTCCCAGGCACCTGTAACTTCTGTTGCAGGGGATCTAACACCCACCTCTGGCCTCTTCAGGCTCCTGTCTCAAAGACTGTACAATTTGCATGTGACTACACATATCCTTCTACCCCTCCCTCAGAAAGCTGAAAAATATTTCTAGTCTCACAGAAGGCCTCTCATGCTTCCCCCAAGTAACACCCTACCATGGTGGTAATCATGACTGGTGGTTCATTTTTCTTAACATTTATTTTTAGATATTTTTGCTAGGTTTATATATTTTACTTTTGTCTGTTTTGCTTACATGTGTATGTGTACCCTATACATGCAATACCTGTGGAGGCCAGAAGGGGGCACCAGATCCATTGGAGCTGGAGTTATGAATGGGTGGGAACCGCTGTATATATGGGTCATATATATGGGTCTTTTGCAAGTGCAACGAATGCTTTTTATCGCTGAGCCATCTCTCCAGCCCTTGA